GATTCCCTCCCTCCAGCTGTCTCCCTATTCAACATCCCAACACCCGACACGAGATTCCCCAGTGACTGTGTCCACTGGGCGAGGGGAGCTCGCCCTCAGAAAAACTCCCAGGCAGGGGGGCAGCCACACTTTGACCCTTTAACACCACTGCATGGGGTCCCAGTTGTCCTCCTCCTCAGGGCACTATGGGGCACCTGGCGCCCAGGGAAGTGACCTGAGCAGGAATGTGCCCAGACTTAGTGTAGCTGCCACATGTAACGCGCCATCCACCCTGTGGCCACCCGTCACCCTCTCAGGAGCAAGCTGTGAGGCTCCGCCTCCTGTGCCCCTGACAGAGCAACACCCTGACTGCCTTCCTGGCTACTCAGCTGAGCAGAAGCCCCTGTGCACAAAGAAGAAAGAAGTTACCATTATTTTTATAAGTGACAATCTTCCGGAATAGGGGATGTTATCTGTGCAACTCTTCACATCCAAAACGGCCTGAACGTTTTCTGGAGGTGCTTCATATTTTGCAAGAGATGGCTCGAAGACTATTGTAGGTTTCAGGAGAAAGCCTGAGATATCTTGAACAAAGGCTGGACAGGCCAACGCATTGGCTAGCGAAGAAAAAGAAATACAATCGATATAAGGAAAATCACGCATTTCCTGTGGTTCCCTGAGGGTAGAACTAGACAGGAACCCCAGGGGTTTTATGATCTCATCCCACAGCGGTCCCGACATGGCAGCTGGGGCTTCCTCAGATCTCAGAGGAAGCACAGAAGAGCCAGGACTAGAATACTGGCTTACTAATCCTTAGTTCAGTTTTTATCCTTTTTAAAGCACATCCCTTTGTCTCCAGGACCCTCCTGGTTTGCTGACATTCACTTTCTTTATAATTCAAACAATTAAGTTTTGCCTATACAGGATGACACCTTGTTTTTGTGTTGAATATCAGATAAGAGGAGGTTTGAGTATCAATTTTTTATTTTTTAACAATGTTTTAATGTTCATTTGTTTTTGAAAGGGAGAGAGCACAAGAAGCGGGGTGTGGTGTGGAGAGGGGGTTACAGAGAGAGAGAGAGGGGGAGACACAGATTCCGAAGCAGGCTCCAGGCTCTGAGCTGTGAGCACAGAGCCGGGCGTGGGGCTTGAACCACGCGGACAGTGAGATCATGACCTGAGCCGAGGTCCCACACTTCAACGACTATGCCACCCAAGTGCCCCTGAGTATCAAGTTTGTAAGTGAATAGCAGAGTGAGACCTTACCAGAGAGCGGAGAAGTGTGGGTAATCTGGAGAAGAGTAGATCAAACTATATATATGTTGGAGGATGCTACTTTGAGACTAAATCAAAGAATAAGATTGTTATTGGATGCAGGCATGGTAAAAAGTTAAACACACGCATACAAAACAACCCTCAGGTCACCAGTCTGAACATCTTTAAATGTTATACACAAAGTTATGATTGTTTTATTTTCCCTGCAGTGATGTACAGAATTCCTTAGAGAGGGTGAGTGACAGGAACTGAGGCTCTTTCCTGAACCCAGTGGGATGGTGCGGAAGCCTGAAGTGACCAGTGTTCCTGGTGTGGGCTCTTTATCCCCCACCCCCTGTCTTTGTAAGCATGCTGCAGCTGGGAAGTGCCCTACTAGGCTCTGATCTGAGCCCTGATCATAGAAGTTGAGAGGTTCAATCAGAGGCAACGTGGGGAAAGAGGAGGGTATTTAAAAAGTCAGATGAAACAGAATGACTCAAGAAGACGTGGGTCCGTATCACGGGTAAGAAGACTTACAAAAATATTGTTGAATGGATGGCTAGAATTGATCCAGATGGACAGAAATCCCACGATTGCACTAGTTCTACTAGTCCTAGTTCTAGTCTTAGCAGAACTGGTAGTACTCGTGCAAAAGCAGGGAGACTGGCAGATACAGTGAGATCTACTCACTAGTAGATACAGTGAGCGCTGCTGCTTCCCAGAGCCCCCTTGAAGACTTATTATTTAGAGACTCAGAGAACACTAGCTCTTCTGCCCCTTCTTCTTCTTTTTTTAAAGAAAGCCACTTCAGTTGACCTAGTTCAGAGAAGGGTACTCACCAGGGCTGGTGCTGGTCTGATTAGAAATGATACTCACCCTCGTAGCAGCAAAGAGTCAGAGTGACCAGCAGGACACTCAGGAACAGCCTCATGGTTTATTTTGCTTTGAGTTTTCAGCTTTAGTGAAGGGTGAGCAGTTAGTCACTGAACTCAGGAGCCTGAGGAGCCCAGGAGTGTATATAGCTAGAGGGCCTCCCTCGTGCTGCCCAAATAAACATGTGGTCACGTCACGGGCCTGGCTTTCAGCCCTCCCTTCCTTAGTCAGGGCTCGTGCGATCTATCGGTGTCACAGACGCCAACGCCTGGGTCAGTGTTCCTGTATACAGGCATTGCTGGCACCAGGCATGTCTCCTTTGTAGCAATAACTGAGGTTGTAGTTTTACAAGTGTATAGTCGGTTAGTTGATGCACACCGCCCTTGACATTAACTCCTTGACTGAAGATGCAGCCTCTGGTTCTGTTCATCTTAGGCGTAGTGCCCGGCACACCGGGGAAGAAAATCAAATATTCTTTGAATAAGTGAAGGACCTGAATCAAGAAACCACTACTCTTGGTTAGGGTATATCTTCAATGTGAAATGATGCTTGCTAGGCCGGGTTTGCCTCTGGGCAGGTGAGAGGCAGAAAGGTCAGTAGCATCAGAATCAGAGTAAGAAATGAGTGGTTTTCGGTATCCCAAGATGCCACCGGGAAGACTCCCTCCCTAACTAATTTCCCATTCTAAGCTCAGATGTTTAAAAGTATCAAAATGTATTTCTCTTTTTTTTCAATATATGAAATTTATTGTCAGATTGGTTTCCATACAACACCCAGTGCTCATC